CCTCCAAATAGATGGAGAGAGTGCAGTACCGCTGCTTGCCACCTGAGGGCAGAATCAGATAATATTTCAAGTTTTGCTTCCCTTTCCGGATTTCCTGTTGACTCCCAGTCCGCCCCCATCAAAAAAGGGAGATGTCGCCTTAAGGTTTCCTTTAATGCAGACCTCTTTTTTTCCCCCTAATTCTTTTTCTCCCCCATTAGATTCTGCTGCATTGTTGTTAATGAGCACTTAACACCCTTCACCTCCTGCCAGTTTCCTGATTGCATGTGATCTTTCTTGGATGTTCATAATTAAGATTGTCATTCTTTTTTTTTTTTTTTTTTAAATATATTTTATTGATTTTTTACAGAGAGGAAAGGAGATAGAGAGTTAGAAATATCGATGAGAGTCATCGATCAGCTGCCTCTTGCACACCCCCTACTGGGGATATGCCCGCAACCAAGGCACATGCCCCCGACCGGAATCGAACCAGGGACCCCTCAATTCCCAAGCCGACGCTCTATTCATTGAGCCAAACCAGTTTTGGCAAGATTGTCATTCTTTTATAGAATTACCATATCATTCTGTCTGTTCCATACCCAGGAAACTTGAATTTTAATTATGTTTTTGTTATCTGAGTTAAAGAAGAATTTCTTTTGTAGCAAAGAAATCCTGAAACTTCTCAGTTTGATTCCGTTGTAATTATGAAAACAGGTACTAGAATGCTGTTACCTAGGGCTTACATTGAATTTTGAGACCCTCTGACCTGTCCTGACCACTAACCTAAGCTCCCAGTGCGGCATGTATGTGCTGGATTTGTGCTGGAGATAAGGCAGGCACGCTCCTGCCCTCATGGGCTTGCAGTTTGCTGGGTAGAGAGACAGGAAACAATGGTCCCTTGTACTGAGTTATCAGGAAGGGCACAGGCAGGGTACTGTGACAGGGAGCATCGAGAGTGTGGCTGCCTTAGGTGGGTGGTTAGGGTCTGGCTTTCTGAGGAGGACATAGCTCCCTGGGTTGCAGCATAAAAGGGAGCTAGATGAAGAAGGGGTAGAAGGAGAGTGAACCCATCTGAGAGGCCAGTGGGGCGGAAGTACAGAGTGAGAGGTTGGGGCGGGGGAGTAGGGAGGTGGGCATGAGATGGAGATCTGTGCAAGGGCCAGATCAAGAAGTTGCCTTTAGCCCTGACTGGTTTGGCTCAGTGGATAGAACGTCGGCCTGTGGACTGAAGGGTCCCAGGTTCGATTCCGGTCAAGGGCATGTACCTTGGTTGTTTGCACACTCCCAGTGGGGAGTGTGCAGGAGGCAGCTGATTGATGTTTCTAACTCTCAATCCCTCTCCCTTCCTTTCTGTAAAAAATTAATAAAATATATTTAAAAAAAAAAGAAAAGGAAAAAGAAGAAGTGCTTTTGTTGGCTATATAAGAGTTTAGGCTTTATTTTTATTTATTTATTTAAAAATATATTTTATTGATTTTTTTACAGAGGAAGGGAGAGGGATAGAGAGTTAAAAACATGGATGAGAGAGAAACATTGATCAGCTGCCTCTTGCATGCCCCCTACTGGGGATGTGCCCACAACCAAGGCACATGCCCTTGACCAGAATTGAACCTGGGACCTTTCAGTCTGCAGGCCGACACTCTATCCACTGAGCCAAACCGGTTTCGGCTAGGCTTTATTTTTAGTGAAGCAGTGTGTTACTCTAAGCAAGGGGGCCATATTTTGAGTTTTTTAAAGGTCATTCTGCTGGTGTGTGACACATGGTTTGATTGTAGGACAGGAGAGAGTAGAAGCTGTGGGCCCTTAAGATTGCGGGTCTGCCACCTCTTTTTAAAAAAATATATATTTTATTGATTTTTTTACAGAGAGGAAGAGAGAGGGATAGATAGTTAGAAACATCGATGAGAGAGAAACATCGATCAGCCACCTCCTGCACACCCCCAACTGAGGATGTGCCCGCAACCAAGGTAGATGCCCTTGACCGGAATCGAACCTGGGACCTTTCAGTCCCCAGGCCGACACTCTATCTAGTGAGCCAAACCAGTTTCCACGGCCACCTCTTTTTGTAAAGGGCCAGATAAAAAAATACGTTTAGCTTTGCCAGTGGGAGAGTCTTTTACAGTTTCTTTTCTTTTTTTTTAAATATATATTTTATTGATTTTTTTACAAAGAGGAAGAGAGAGGGATAGAGTTAGAAACATCGATGAGAGAGAATCATCGACCAACTGCCTCTTGCACGCCCCCTACTGGGGATGTGCCCGCAACCAAGGTACATGCCTTTGGACCGGAATCGAACCCGGGACCTTTCAGTCCACAGGCCGACGCTCTATCCACTGAGCCAAACCGGTTTTGGCAGGGAGAGTCCTTTTCAATGTCAACAGCTACTTAAGCCTGCCCTTGTCGTGTGAAGGCAGCTATAGGCAGTATGTAAATGAATGGGCATAGCTGTGTGCCAATAAAATTTTATATATAAAACCAGGCAGTAGGCCATGGTTTGCCACCCTCTGGTTTAGATTATTGCAGTAATCCTGGTGAAAGATGCAGTAATCCTAGCTTGAACCAGTGAGTGGGGAGAGATGCTATTTGCTGAGATGAAAAAGCACCCAGCAAAACAAGCCCAGAGGTGATGGACCCGGGGTTCAGTTTGGGATGTGGTAAGTTTGGGTAATTATTATTATTTTTATTTTTAAAATATATTTTATTTATTTATTTATTTATTTATTTATTTATTTTTTACAGAGAGGAAGGGAGAGGAATAGAGAGTTTGAAACATCAATGAGAGAGAAACATCAATCAGTTGCCTCCTGCACACCTCCTACTGGGGATGTGCCCCCAACCAAGGAACATGCCCTTGATTGGAATCGAACCTGGGACCCTTGAGTCCGCAGGCCGACGCTCTATCCACTGAGCCAAACCAGTTAGGGCTGGGTCATTATTGATCAATCCGAGATGCCAAAGCTGGCTGCAACACCCAGATCCTTCCACTTAGTGTTTAAGTTTTATTACTGATTATTGTTCTTTAGTTCTGTCGTATTTCCCCTTCCTAACTTCTGAGCTCCTTAGGAACATGTCTTAAAGTCTTCCAGCACCTCATTTATAGTGTTGACTATGTAGTAGGTGCTCAAATGCTAGAGAATTAATTTTAAAATCCATGTGAGTCTTTTAGTATTTAAATATGGTGAGGATGAAGGGGTTAAGATGACTTTGATCCCAGTCTAAAGTAAAATGCTTAAGTAACTATTGAAAGCACATTATATATTAAGTTAACATTTATCAAAGGATTATATTAACAGGAATATTCTCAGGGCTTTTTGTACTGCTTGTTTTAGAAAACCAGCATGTTTAATTCTAACCATACTACCATTATAAGCAGACTGTTCAGATGCATGCAGTTGTGTGTGTCTGTGTGTGTGTGTGTGTGTGTGTGTGTTCCTTCATGGAGAGAGAGACAGAATGAGACACACAGAGAGTTAGAGTGACACAGAGAATGCTCACTATTTCACACCAGGAAGAGCCAGGTGGCTCTATATTCTGGAACTTTCTGTCTGCTAATGAATTGCCTTCTCTTTTCTTAAAGCCCTCCATTTTATTTTAATATTTCCAGTCTTTTATATATATATATTGATTTTTTTACAGAGAGGAAGAGAGACGGAGAGAGAGTTAGAAACATCGATGAGAGAGAAACATGGATCAGCTGCCTCCTGCACACCCCCTACTAGGGTTGTGCCCGCAACCAAGGTACATGCCCTTCACCAGAATCGAACCCGGGACCTTTCAGTCCACAGGCCGACTCTCTGTCCACTGAGCCAAACCGGTTTCAGCAACATTTCCAGTCTTGATGACATGAAAGGTTAACAGCTTTATAATGATCCCCCCCTTTTTTGGAGTGTGTGTGTGGTAATTGACTGGTCTGTATAATCCAAGTGAATCAATGATAGCATGACTCGTTTACTTAATGTTATCCATATCTTCAGGCAGAGAGATATCTTATAAACACGGATTAGACCATCCTGAAAGCCCTCCTCACCCTTGCTTTCTTACCCCTTTCTTGAAGCTGTTTACCTGACTCTGTTACACTCCATCTATTCTTTTTTTTTTTTGGAACAAAAAATAATCTTTATATACACTGTTAATAGATACCTACATACAATATGGCTTTTAAAATGAAATCATGTGTCTATACTTGTATTTATAAAGATAAGTGTATTAATCAAAAGTTATACAACATTGACAGCTAATCCAAATGCAAACAAAGATATTCTGAATTCTGTTTCATTGAGCATAAAAAACCACCAATCTTTTAGTTCTCTTCTTGTATGTTATTCTGTATCTGCATCTGATCGGATCCCTGGATTTTATTTCATTTTTCTGCGTGACATTCATTGGCTGCTGCTTTAGGAATTGGACGTCCTTTGGGTGTCCATTGTTAATCCTTAGCACCGACACACTCCTCTCTCTGCAATTCCAGACTACAGCACCTATTTTTTTTTTAAACTTTATTGTTGACACTATTATAGATGTCCTCATTTCCCCCTTTGCCCACCTGCATATCCCTTCTTATTTTCCAGTCTCCATTTTCTCTTCCTTTTGCTTCATCTCCCTTTATTTTATTTAAACAAATATTTTTTTTGACTTCAGAGAGGAAGGGAGAGGGAGAGAGAGAGAGAAACATCAATAATGAGAGAGAATCATGGATTGGCTGCTTCCTGCATGCCCCACACTGAGAATCGAGCCCACAACCCGGGCATGTGCCCTGACCAGGAATTGAACCGTGACCTGGCTCATAGGTCGATGCTCAACTACTGAACCACAGTGGCTGGACCAATTTACATTATTTCTAATTGGAAAAAACAATTCGGTTTTCAAACAGCCATCTGGAACGAAGTTTGAGAAATGAGGTTCCACTGTATTTACAAACGTCTGTTCTTGTGTCACCCTAGATTTCTGCTTAGCTTATTAAGACGTTTTCTATTAGTCTGTGTAACGTGGAAGATCACTTGTGTCTTTTTTTCCATTTCCAGTTGGGTGGCACCATCGGAGACATTGAAGGAATGCCGTTTGTGGAAGCATTCAGACAATTTCAGTTTAAAGCCAAAAGAGAGAATTTCTGCAACATCCATGTTAGCCTTGTCCCACAGGTGAGCTTTCCAGATAAGTATAGAGAGCAACTTCTCTACGTCTTCGTATGACATTCTGTTTATTCCGTATTTTATTTTATTTAAAAAAATATATATTTTATTGATTTTTACAGAGAGGAAGGGAGGGGAATAGAGAGTTAGAAACATCAATCAGCTGCCTCCTGCACAACCCCTACTGGGGATGTGCCCGCAACCAAGGTACATGCCCTTGATTGGAATCGAACCTGGGACCTTTCAGTCTGCAGGGTGACGCTCTATCCACTGAGCCAAACCGGTTTTGGCTTATTCTGTATTTTAGTTGGGGATCCATACGCTATGCAGGAGAGCGAAATGCCCAACGTACTAACAGTGACCCGTTTCTTTTCAGCCCAGTGCTACCGGAGAACAAAAAACCAAACCCACACAAAACAGTGTTCGTGCGCTGAGGGGCTTGGGCCTATCTCCTGATCTGGTGAGTTACAGAGAGTAGGGAAATTTCTTGGCAATAGCACCTCCATTTCTTAATCTATAACATCATCCAAGTCCTTTCTAGCTCCCAAGTGCTTCCTATGACATTGGCCTTTTTGTATCTGGGGTCCAGCGAAGGGTATTTCCTCATCCCTAGGGTCACTGCACACATTTCTGGATTGGCCATCGGTTCTTCTCAGGCCCTCCTCTGATTGGCCACATGACACCTGGTCAAGTGCAATGTCCTGCCATTTTGTATGGTCCCTGCGTCCTTGAGAGTGAGGTGTAGGACCTTGGAGGTTTTCCCGTGACCCTACTAGGATGGGCTATCACTGCTCTTATTTATAGTAGGTAATCCAGTTATTACCAGTAGTCTAGATCAGGGGTCAGCAAGTAAGGACCTGTAGGCCTGTTTCCTGGAAAGAAATTAAAAAAAAAAAAAATATATATATATATATATTTTATTGATTTTTTTTTTTTTTTTTATAGAGAGGAAGAGAGAGGGATAGAGTTAGAAACATCGATGAGAGAGAAACATCGATCAGCTGCCTCCTGCACACCTCCTGTTGGGGATATGCCCGCAACCAAGGTACATGCCCTTGACCGGAATTGAACCTGGGACCTTTCAGTCCACAGGCCAACGCTCTATCCACTGAGCCAAACCGGTTAGGGCATGGAAAGAAAATTTTAAGACTTTTAAAATTGTAAATAAAGTTTTATTGGAACACGATACCATCCATTATTTACATTTGTCTATATCTGCCTTTGCACCACATTAGCACAACTGAATAGTCAGGACAGTGACTGCATGGCCTGCAAAACCTAAACTATTTACCAGCTGACCCTTTAGAGGAAAAGTTTGCCAACCCTGGGCTAGCTCTGTTCTTGTATTTAAAAAAAAATATTTTATTGATTATTTTTTACCGAGAGGAAGGAAGAGGGATAGAGAGTTAGAAACATCGATGAGAAAGAGACATCCGTCAGCTGCCTCTTGCACACCCCTTACTGGGATGTGCCTGCAACCAAGGTACATGCCCTTGACCGGAATCGAACCTGGGACCTTCCAGTCCGCAGGCTGACGCTCTATCCACTGAGCCAAACCGGTTTTGGCTGTTCTTGTATTTTTTATGTTTTTTAAAATATATATTTTTATTGGTTTTAGAGAGGAAAGGAGAAAGAGAGAGAGAGAGAGAGAGAGAGAGAGAGAGAGAGAGAGAGAGAAACATCAATGATGAGAGGGAATCATTGATCAGCTGCTTCCTGCACACCCCACACTGGGAACTGAGCCCACAACCCGGGCATGTGCCCTGACCGGGAATTGAACTGTGGCCTCCTGGTTCATAGGTTGATGCTCAACCACTGAGCCACACTGGCCGAGCTGTATTTTTAAAGGAGTAACCTTGGTGAGCCTTGGTTCTCCTTATGAGAGACACATTCACATTTTGAGTTCTCACTGGTAGAGTTGTGTTGGGTTGGACTATAGTTACTTATATTAGTGCTCAGGCGAGTTTCTAAAAGGCCAGTGGAATGCCCAAAATGAACATGTACAGACCTAGGCAAGTCTGTTGTAGCAGAAAGCAGTTTATCTGTGTCCTTCTGAAAACGAATGGCGGGGTGGCTAGCCAGTTCCTGCTTGCTGACCTGTGCATAACTGACTTTGACAGATCGTCTGCCGGAGCTCCAAGCCCATCGAAATGGCTGTGAAGGAAAAGATTTCCATGTTTTGTCATGTGAACCCTGAACAGGTTAGTGCTGTTCTTTAGATTTTATTGCCTCGCAGGTACTTCTGCTGATGCCAACGTTTTATGCCTCTTAAATCATCATATTACTTTTCACAGCATTTATGAAAACTCATATCCAGCCACGGCTCCCTGGCCTTTAAGTGAACAATCTTGAGACTCGTGATTCCTTAGATAGCGTGCATGTTTCTTTGCATAATTGCTCCTCAAGTTGTAGGTACAAAATCAGCTGGGCTTTTTATTATTTATTTATTTATTTATTTATAAATATATTTTATTGATTTTGTACAGAGAGGAAGGGAGAGAGAGAGAGAACTAGAAACATCGATGAGAGAGAGCCATCGATCAGCTGCCTCCTGCACACCCCCCACTGGGGACATGCCCGCAACCAAGGTACATGCCCTTGACCGGAATCGAACCCGGGACCCGTCAGTCCCCAAGCCGACGCTCTATCCATTGAGCCAAACCGGTCCCGGCTCAGCTGGGCTTTTTAACTCGAAGTCAAATCTCTAGAGAGAGAACCACGCCTACTTATATCTCTTTTTAAAAATATATTTTATTGATTTTTTTTACAGAGAGGAAGGGAGAGGAATAGAGAGTTAGAAACATTGATGAGAGAGAAACATCCATCAACTGTCTCCTGCGCACCCCCTACTGGGGATGTGCCTGCAACCAAGGTACATGCCCTTGACCGGAATCGAACCTGGGACCCTTGAGTCTGCAGGTTGACGCTCTATCCACTGAGCCAAACCGGTTACGGCTGTTATCATCTCTTTCCCTTGTCTTTCTAGGACAGTGGTTGGCAAACTCTTTGGTCAGCAGAGCCAAATATCAGCAGTAGAATGATTGAAATTTCTTTTGAGAGCCTGAAACCGACTTCTGCACATGGGCCACGAAGTTCCAATGGCACTTTAGGTGTGCGCCCACACATGGTATTTTGTGGAAGAGCCACACTCAAGGGGCCATAGAGCTGCAAGTGGCTCGCGAGCCACAGTTTGCCGACCATTGGTCTAGGACACTCACTGCTTTCACTCGATTTCTTCTTGTATCTGCTACAACTTAACTCACTGCAAAGCACACATGTTGACACTCATCCTATCACTTCTGATTATATCAGCGGCCTCAGTTCAGTTCATTGCTATGGAAGCTGTACCAGGATTTGGGTTTAGGTCCTTTGTCCTGCCAGACTTCCCACCTTGGGATCTGAGAGTTAGCTTTTTTTTTCTTTCATTTTCTTATCTGTCTCTTGTTTGCAGTAAGGCTCAGGCACAAGGGACCAGAGTGGGCTATAATTGAAAAAGTGATAATACTCAGTGCTCAGGAAGAGAGAGGTTTAGCAGAAACCTTTTGTTTGCTTCAGATAAGCTCTGAGTTCTCTGCAGCCTGAAAGCCACCTAATCAGATTTCTGTATCTCAGGGGGCAGTTTGATGAAGAACCCACTGTTCAATGCTTACTTAGGGTCCGTGCATAAGTTGGTACTGCTCTGAAAATGTGCTGGCAGGTTTGGTGGGCCCCCTGTGTTTTTAATGTCGTCAAGCCATTTTGATTTTGTTCAGCTTGTTTTTTGTATTTTCCTATTGGTCAGTAGTATTTTGTGTGTGTGTGTTAAACACATATAACCTGGTTTCCTAAACAGAAGGAGAATGTAAGGACATCTAAGTGTGAGTTGTTGTTTTTTTTGAGCCAAATTGACAAGTGCCAGGAAGCAAGATCTCAAATACTCTGGAGGACAGGTTTTTTGTTGTTTGTTTGTTTTCAATATGTTTTTATTAATTTCAGGTAGAGAAAAGGAGGGGGAGAGAGAGAGAGAAACATCATTGATGAGAAAGAATCGTGGATCGGCTGCCTCCTGCATGCCCCACGCTGGGGATCAAGCCCACAACCCGGGCATGTGTCCTGACTGGGAATTGAACTGGACCGTGACCTACTGGTTCATAGGTTGATACTCAACCATTGAGCCATGTCGGCTGGGCTTAAGGAGGGAATGGAAGGAGGATTACATGGGGGTGGGAGAAAGCTAGGTGGGGATTGGACTATAGGACAGTTAATGTGGTCTTTACGTGCTCCCTTGAGGGTGGTTATACCTCTGACGAGTCCAAAAAAGGATTATTCTGGCATTTCCAAGGTGTGTTAACCCGGAACAACGGTCAGGGCTTGCTTAAGGCACAGATAAACCTTTCAATAGGGAAATTAATGGGCCTGGAATGTTAGGAAGTTGTGATCAGATCACCCTGTGAGGTTACTTTCGGTCACAGCTTGTTAGATTTAGAGCCTCTTTTTTGTGCTCAGCTCTGAGAACAGATTTAGACCAAACTTTCGACCATATAGTCTGTTTTCTGTAACTGGAGATTCGGAAGAATGCTCTGTCCCATCAGTGCACAGGCCAGTTTATGAGCTGTTTTCAGCACATCGTTCTCGCGATATGAGTCAATGCTCCCATTTCATAGTCGCTGGTGAATTTGCATTTAAAACTCTCCTCATTGGGGTTGCTGAGGACCCGATGGAGAATTGGAGGTTTCTCTGTGGATGCGGCCCATTACTATGTATGACATCTGAAAAAATATCTCTCTGGCAAGGAGGATGAGCAGTTGTGGTTGTCCAGAGATTTAGGTTGGCTTTTGTTTGTTTGTTTGTTTTATTTTGATTGATTTCAGAGAGGAAGGGAGAGGGAGAGAGAGATAGAAACATCAATGATGAGAGAGAATCATTGATCTTGCTTGTTTCCTGCACACCCCCTATTGGGATTGAGCTCACAACCCGGGCATGTGCCCTTGACCGGAATCGAACCCGGGACCTTTCAGTCCGCAGGCCGATGCTTTACCCACTGAGCCAATGATCTAGGGCCAGAGATTTGGTTTTACACAGTAATTGTGACAAAGGCTCAGATCAGTGACATCTCGGCACTTCCAGTTGTGTTGGTAAATGCACGAATGAGGCACACTAGTCTTAAGTGTCAGGTTGATGATGTTCAAACAGCTTAGGAATCCCTGGTTGGAGAGTGACGGGTTTAGGAAGACTGCACACATACCGTTGGCAGAACATTTCTTAGCATTTATTTAGGATGTGGCAGATCCTTAAGTGCCTGCCAGTAGCTTCTTGGATGTACTTGAGAGGGCGGTGAGAGCTTGTTAGGGTAAATGTGAAAAACAGCCACACCACCTGGCAAAGGAGCCGTTCTCTCCTAACAGGGGTAATTAATGTGACTGTGTTCGATGTGGCTTTGTAAATTTACCCACAAGAAGGGAGCGGACAAAAGCAACTATAGCAGCGCCAGCAGCAACGAATGAACCATCCAACAAATCACATACCCCCATTTAGGAGCTAAGGTGTATGTATTTATTGCTACTGCTTTAACCCAGACTTAGAACATGGTGCCTTGGGCCGTGGGTCTTGACATATAAAGAAGCATCCATGTTCCAACACCATTCTCTGACATCAGCTCGGGGTCCTGCAATTCAACCCTGACACTAAGTACCCCAGTGAGAGTCAGACTCCATAGGTTTATGGGCTTGGTCCTTTCTAAGACTGCCCTTGCTTCAGACACCAGCCATAAGTTTCCGGTGTCCCCAAGCCTCCCACAATTCTGCCTGGCTGACTACAGCCCTTTCAGGTTAGAGAATTCTCTAGAGCACATGTGTCAAACACAAGGCCCGTGGGCCAAATCCGTCCCGCCAGGCCTTGCAATGTGGCCCGCACCGCGCTGTCATCACTGCACTCCGCTGCGTTTCCATCACAATGACAGTTTATGACTGTTCAGTAAACCATTCGGCCCGCGATTTAGGCTGGATTTTAGATTTTGGCCCCTTCTCTGATTGAGTTTGACACCCCTAGGCTAGAGTGACTCACAGAATCAGGAAAGTGAGCCACCCTCCCGCGCAGCTGCGTATTCACCAACCAGGATGCTCCCCAGTCGTCTTGATATTGGGAGTTCATTACTGGTCACATGATTGAATTCATTCTCTAGACACCCTCCTTTTTCCCCCTGACATCCCCTCTCTGGAGTTCAGTGGCTGAAAGTTCCAGCCTTCTAATGACTTGGTTTGTTTTTCTGGTGTCTAACTTCCATCCTCAAGCCTTCTAGGGACCACCCCGCGTCACATCATTAGCATAACAAAGATACCACTGTCACTCAGAAAATTCCAAAGGTTTTTGAAGTTCTTTCAGGAAATGAGAACAAAGACCATATACTGTGTGTGTGTGTGTGTGTGTGTGTGTATAATTTTTAATGTATTTTATTGATTTTTACAGAGAGGAAGGGAGAGGGACAGAGAGCTAGAAACATTGATGAGAGAGGAACATCGACCAGCTGCCTCCTGCACACCCCCGACCGGGGATGTGCCCACAACCAATGTATATGCCCTTGACGGGAATTGAACCTGGGACCTTTCAGTCCTCAGACCTACTCTATCCATTGAGCCAAACCGGTTTCTGCTATTTATATATTTTTTATTCTTCCACAGTATCCATGGTTCTAGGGGTAGAATAATGACTTCAAAGCATTCTGTAATTTGATCAAACGAACCTTGCCTGCATTCTGCCTCTGGTTTAGGTGGCTGGTGTAAATATCTCTCTCCTTTCCACCTCCAGCTGGGCTAGAGAGCAGTCTGGTTCCTGAGTAGGGGCCGCTGGGGATTTAGAAAACGAAAGAAAAAGATAGACACAGAAATAGAAGGAAAAAGCTGGGGCCAGGTGGGACCACTACCCTCTTCTGATGGAGAGACAGTGACCCAGAGCCTTGAAGCGTGTTTATTTTATTCCCCAAAATACCAGGAAGTTTTCACCAAAAGTCAAGACAAGGGAGATTATTTGCATTCTTGCATTCCTGGTGCTTGACTGGATTTACATATCAAAACCCACTTCTGGACACCTGGGCAAAGAGTCAATGCTCAGCACACATCTGCTCTTGGTTTTCTTCCATGAGTATAAATGAGCTGCCAGACTCTTGAGTTCTGGCTTACTCTTGAACTCATTCTGTGGCATATTTGAGTCATTCCACTTACATACGGTGTTTTGTCACCCACCAGGTCATATGTATCCATGATGTTTCTTCCACATACCGAGTGCCCGTGCTTTTGGAGGAACAAGGCATCGTTAAATATTTTAAAGAGAGATTGAATTTGCCCATTGGTGACTCTGCAAATAATTTGCTTTTCAAGTGGAAAAATATGGCTGACAGGTATGTAAAAGGAATTACTAATGTAATCTTCAATAATTCTTGGGTTTGGGAGTAGGACTGGCATGTACCTTAAAAGGTACCTATGTTGCATTTGGCTTTTTGTATGTATGTGTATGTTTTGTATGGATGTGTTTAAAGCTCTAGCACATTGTTAGGATGTTTTACTGTATTCTTTGAAGATTTCTGGGACCTTTGAACATTTTAATTTATTTATTAGTTTATTTCTTAGTTTCTGGATATTGTAAATAGTTTTAAACTTTCTGTTTCTTGTTTTGCTTTGCTTGTTTTTAAGATTTGATTAATTTCTTAAAGAAAATCCTTTTTTTGCTTTTAAATATATTTTTATTGACTTCAGAGAGGAAGGGAGAGAGAGAGAGATAGAAACATCAATGATGAGAGAGAACCATTGATTGGCTGCCTCCTGGACTGGGGATCAAGCCTGCAACCCGGGCATGTGCCCTTGACTGGAATCAAACCTGGGACCAGCCGAGACTGGTTTGGCTCAATGGATAGAGCGTCGGCTTGGGGACTGAAGGGCCCCGGGTTCGATTCCGGTCAAGGGCATGTACCTTGGTTGCGGGCATATCCCCAGTAGGGGGTGTGCAAGAGGCAGCTGATCGATGACTCTCTCTCATTGATGTTTCTAACTCTCTATCTCTCTCCCTTCCTCTCTGTACAAAAATCAATAAGATATATTTAAAAAAAACCAAAAAAACAAACCTGGGACCTTTCAGTCTGCAGGCCAACACTTTATCCACTGAGCCAAACCAGCTAGGGCAAGAAAAATCCTTTTAAATGGGAAGTTTTGGTTATTTGTTATTGTTCCACTTCACATTTATTAACTATCAGCATCATTATTTTTTGTTGTTATTAATCATCACCCTAGGATATTTTTCGTTGATTTTTTTTTTTTTTCCGAGAGTGGAAGGGAGGGGGAGAGACACACAGACAGAAACAGCAATATGAAAGAGACACATGGATTGGTTGGCTCCCACACCCCCCCCCCAACCCGACCCAGGGATTGAGTCTGCAACCGAGATACGTGCCCTTGATCGGAATTGAACCCCAGAACCCTTCAATCCGAGGGCTAATGCTCTATCCACTGAACCAAACTGGCTAGGGTGAGGTTTGGGGTTTGATCTCCGGTCAGGGCATGTGTAGGAGGCAACCTATCAGTTTCCCTCAGATATATTTCTCTCTCTTCTCTCTTCCTCTCTCCAAAATAAAAACAAAGTTCTCATCACAAGAAAAAAATATTTCTGATGATATGTGGTGATGGATGCTAACTAGATTTATTGTGGTTCTCATGTAGCAATATCTACATATATTGAGTTATGTTGTACCTGGAAAGCTGATATGATACATGTCAATTACATCTAAATCGCCTTCCTAGAAAGTCACCTTTCCTGTCAGTTTTGACTTCTTTGCTTCCTGTGTATTTTTCTCCTCCTAGCCTTTTTCCCCATCATGTTGCTCTTGTACTCCTTGAAGATGTTAATCTGCATGAGGAATATTCCTCATCACATAACATTTTTGTTAGAGGGTGTGCTTCCCAGCCCTAAAATATCTTCAGCCCCAAGATGACATTTCCACCTACTTCATGTCAGACCAGACATTTCTCATGTTCTCCGGACAGATTTCCTGACAAAAGCAACAGTAAAGATTGTGTCTCTAATGGCAAAATGTGATTAAGCATCTTCTGTAGAATGGAATTTCCTCATAAAATTGATCGAAACGCCTTGTAACATTTTAAATAGTTCTCTTAGCACCATTTTTTTTCAGGCATGCCATGAATAACCTGGCTTTTGTGGGCCAGCGGGGAATGTAGCACTTTAAAAAAAGTTTTTATCGAATTTATTGGGGTGACATTGGTTAATAAAATTATACAGGTGTAGCCATTTTTAATGTAGACGCTTTGAATGTGTTTTCTTATATAATGTCACCTTACAAAGTTGATACTGGAATGTTTCTTGTTGACACAGAATGCATTTTTTAGTACAATGTCTCCTTGTAAATGAATTCAAGGACAGCTCATGTTTATAAGATGGGGACAGCCTTTTTATATTTTTAATGCTTTTAACTTTTTCTCTGATTTCTATCTGTGCTTGCTTGTGTGAAGCAATAGTGGAAATTTCTTAGGATTTTGAAATGTGTCTGCCTGCAGGTTTGAGTTCTTTGGGGATGGGGGTGGAGCTTTGAATCAAGTACATCAAGTTCAAGGCCTGTCTACTTCTTAGTTTTTTTTTTAGTTTTTTTTTTCTTTTTTTTTTTTAATATTTTATTGTTTTTTTTACAGAGAGGAAGAGAGAGGGATAGTTAGAAACATCTATGAGAGAAAAACATCAATCAGCTGCCTTTTGCACGACCCCTACTGGGGATGTGCCCGAAATCAGGGTACATGCCCTTGACCAGAATCGAACCTGGGACCCTTTAGTCCCCAGGCCGACGCTCTTGAAGCGGTTTTGGCTGCTTCTCAGGTTTTGAAAAGCGCCTTGAGTGCTCTCTTTGGCGGTATTCATACTAAAAAAAAAAAAAAAAAAAAGGGAGTGATACAGTGACTATTAGCGTGGCCCCTGTGCAAGGATGACATGCAAATTTGTGAAGCATTCCATTTTTTAAATATCACATAAAGGTTAGAGGAGGCAAACACATTACAGAAGATAGAAGAAGACAATAGCTACTGCAATTCAGAAACTAACTCTCGGCATAAATCAGGATGCTCTGTGGCAAAAAAACATAAACGGGAGAAGTAAAGGTCTGCATTTGCAAAGGGGGATGGAGATAAGATACATGCATATGACCTTCAGCTTGTCCTCTCTCCCAGGTACGAAAGGCTGCAGAAAACGTGCTCCATCGCTCTGGTCGGCAAATACACCAAGCTGCGGGACTGCTATGCCTCTGTGTTTAAAGCTCTGGAACATTCCGCCTTGGCCATCAACCACAAGTTGAATCTGATGGTGAGTCCCGGCCCAGTCATCCGGGTATTTCAATCATTCCCTCTGATACAGCTTGCGCTTCAGAGAGGTAGGTTGTGCGTATGGCCAAATCACCCCGAACACACTGATCTCATCACAGAGGTAGATTGTGTTGAAGGATCCTCAAGTCCAAGTTTCCAGATGCCAGCCAAGGGCCAGCCTTGTAAGCAGGCCTTTCCACTGATAGTGGATCATGCTTTTCTACCCAAAGTGTCCAGTCCAGTGTTTGCATAACAAGTAGTTGTTGAATAATGTTGTCGTAGTGTTAGATCGTTCTTGTGTTTCTGAGTATGTATTTTTCTGAAATGTTCCTTTAATCTGTTGGATGTTTGTAGTACATAGACTCCATTGATCTGGAGCACACCACCGAAACCGAGGACCCTGTGAAATTCCACGAGGCATGGCAGAAGCTATGCAAAGCCGAGTGAGTCCTGGGGACCCTTCACCCTAGTTGGGAGAATGACACGGTGCTTTTTTCTGGAAGGATTGGACTGACCCAGTTATTAAGTTTTGCATTTTGAAAGGTAGCCTGGTGTATTTGTGGTCATTATGGGTGGTTGTGAGACATTCACATCGCATTTACTTTTTTTTTTATTGTCTGAAGTTTTACATATGTCTCCTTTTTCCCCAACTGACCACCCCCCAGCCATTCCCACCCCGGCCAAGCTCCCACCATCCCAGTGTCTGTGTCCATTGGTTATGTTAATATGCATGCATACAAGTCCTTGCTCTCTAGCCACTCCCCCCCGCCCCCACACCTCATCATTTGTTTCTAAATCTATTCTTTTTTTTGGGTAAAATATATTTTATTGATTTTTTTACAGAGAGGAAGAGAGAGAGATAGAGAGTTAGAAACATCAAGGAGAGAGAAACATCCATCAGCTGCCTCCTGCACACCCCCTACTAGGGATGTGCCCGCAACCAAAGTACATGCCCTTGACCGGAATCGAACCTGGGACTCTTGAGTTTGCAGGCAGACACTCTATCCACTGAGCCAAACTGTTCTTGTTCATCAGAGTATGTTGATCATTATATCCCACATATGAGTGAGATCATGTGATAGTTATCTTCTCTGACTGTCGCATTTATGTTTCAATGTGCTGTGTTAATGTTAGTGGCACTTGCAATGGAAGTGGTTTTGTTCGGGGAGAACTGGCATCCTGTATTAGAGAGAGCGTGCTGATTGTATGAAAGATGCAGAGATGGATTGCACACAAAGTTCAAGTGCAAGCTTGACAACCCTTCTCTCTTGGTTATATTTTCTTTTCTGCATCATTTTATTTGCATTTTTATTATAAAAGTAATTGACAGAACTCTTGGGGGTAGCATTATATTGTGAGGGTAGCACGACCTTCCTGGATTTTTTCTTGAAGTCTTGGGTTTGTCTAGAAGGTATCTAAAGTGTCTTCTAACAGAAAATTTTATGTGCCCTACTTAATTAGCAATTGGAATCTTAGGCTGATTTTACCAGATTAACTCCTTCTGATTATGTAAGATCTTAACATTTTTATAAAGTGTTTTAAAAAAAAATCCTAACCTATTTTTATTCAGATAAACCAGTGGCTTCTTATTTATTTTAAAATATATTTTTATTGATTTTGGAGAGAAGAAGGGAGAGGGGGAGAGAAAGAGAGAAACATCAACTATGAGAAAGAATCATTGATCGGCTGCCTCTTGCACACCCCATACTGGGGAACGAGCCCGCAAGCTGGGCATGTGCGCTGACTTGGAATCGAACTGTGATCTTCTGAATAATAGATTGATGCTCAACCACCGAGCCATGCCCGCTGGGCTAAACCAGTGACATTTTAAATTGAACTGAGTTCTCAGTCACTATGCTTATGCTACAAGGACCTATCAGACAAATATATATTGGGGTCAGTTGTGAGAAATTGTTGCAACTTCTTTATACATTGGGAAGATTTCAAGAAGAAAGTTCAGGATGTCAGATCATGTAATCAATTCTGAATACAGACCTCAGTGTATGCTCTATTGTTGGATTGGGATGAGTAAGCAGGAAAGGCTGAAAATAAGAATTTAAAAAATAAAAAGAATGTCAAATTCACTCCCATCTTGTGTGTTGATTGCAGTGGTGTTCTGGTGCCAGGAGGCTTTGGGATCAGAGGAACATTGGGCAAACTCCAGGCGATTTCTTGGGCAAGGGCAAAGAAGATTCCTTTTCTTGGTAAGATTCATGTTTATGATCCTAACTATGACTTGAATTGATTTTTGACACCTAGTGGGGGTAACACTTAATAGGGTTTTTTAATGTGAAAGGTGTGAACTCATGTTTGAGTATTCAGGCACCAACTAGTCTGCTGCAGGGGTCAGCAAACTGTATCTTCAAGGCCTGTTTTGTAAATAAAGTTTTATTAGCACATAGCCACACTAATCTATATATAAAAGGCTGATATGCTAAGTGTCCCTTCTGACTGTCTGACCGGTCACTATGATGCGTACTGACCACCAGGGGGCAGATACTAAATACAGGAGCTGCGGTGACTCGCACTGGCCATTTACAGAGAAATGGCACCGTGGACCTGGCATCGACAAAGAAACACTCAGCTTCCCCTAAGTGGGGCACAGGCCCTGCCACCACCCTGGAGAGATAGCCCACCAAATCACAGCCAACTCTGCTAAAATCCCGTGGCACAAAATGCGGCCCACAGTCCAGCCCAGCCTGGAAACAGTCGCTGTGGGCACTGGGTAATGACATCATGTAGCAATGCCCAGCTTCCCCTCTCTAACAACTAGTCTCCCTGGAGTTTCTTCAGCCCAGGAACACAACTTGCTTTATAGCCAGGTGCAAACATTTTACACTTTAACCAAATGTCTGTGAAGCATTTTCCCATGCCTCATCTCATTTGATCCTCACAGAAGTAGGTAGATAGGAGACTCAGTCAAATCTTATTTTCTTTTCATTAGCTGGAAAATGGAGATTTAGAAAGCTTAGAAACTTGATCTGACTGAAAAGAAGTAAGAAACGGTGGACCTTGAAAATGACTTCAGGTTTTCCCACTGCACAGAACATATATTTAACTACAGCAGTGTTTGACTATTACTAAAATTAAAAATATATTTGTTCTCCATGCATGATCTACAATAATACTATGCTTCGTGTTGATATTTACTGCTGTGTTGCTGACAATGACCTGAAAGAGAAGTTGGGGTGCTTTACTGGGCTGGAAAAAGTTTAGTTAAATCAGAAAGCAGGTCTAATTAAGCAAGTTTATTCTATATATATATAAGAAGCTAAATTGACTCATGCATGTGCAGTACATATAAAGCTCTCGCTGGTGCCAATCGCACGTGTGTGTTTCTGTCATTGTTGACCGTGAATTTGGTTGACACTTCTATTATAGAGAAAGGGCGAATAGTGGTATTAAAATATTTCTTCTAATTAATTTCCTTTCAATGTGCACGAATTTGTGCACCAGGCCACGAGTTTGATTATATATTGTCTATGGCACCTTTTGTGGCACAGTGTCAGGGTTTGAGGCTCTACAGCATTCAAAGCCTAAAATCTTCACTGTCCTGCCTTTTAGAGAGTTTGGAGAATTTATCATTGCTCTGGCTGGTAGCAAGAGACTGGGAGAAATTGCTGTCTCTACCTGCCCTGACCTTTGATTCTCATCCAGATCCATCTTTTCACCACTTAAAGTGGAGAACCATTCAACAGAACGCCACAATGTTCTTTCTTACCAGAATGAAAAATGTTGAAGTTGAAATTGACTCCTCGAAAACATAGTTCAGAAAGCCCATCCAACTTTGCGGGAACAGCTGTGTTAACATTTGGTACAGCTGGGTCTTTTTAATGCTTTTGTGCAAATTGCAAAGCATGGCTTCTGTGCCAGTGAGACCAGATGAAATGGATCCTTGCGGGGATAAAGGCAGCCCTGCATGTGGGGATTCAGGCAGGAGAGGGAGTGGAGAGAGGCTGTGTCTCACGCTGTGCTTGCATGTATTGGGCTTGCAGACCGAGTGGACAGGCTTGGGTACCTTTTCCTATCAGCAGCCTATTCATTTTCCCCATTGCCTGCTCTTTGATTAGCTTCTTAGAAGCTCTCCACTGGGACCCATTTTCAAAAGGGAAGCCAGGAGTAGTTGCCTTGATACCTTGTTTTGTTTTACCCTTCTAAGCTCTTCTGGGCCATTGATTTCTTTTGAAGTAAGCTTGTTTGGTTTCTGTCTACACGTGGTTCATGTTCTTCAGATAATTATCACGGTAGAGAACAGTTGGAAACTCTGTAGCTTTCTCTTTAACACAGGGCCTCTTTATGTCCTAGCCGTGTGGAACTTGCACGGTTCCCAACTTTGTTCTGATTTAGTATATTGGTTGCTCTCTCCTTCAGATCTCTTGTGTTCCTTGGCTATGTCTCTAAGAGCATTAGGCATTTGTTTAGTGGAGAGAGATTGGTGGGCTGCAGTGAATGTGGAGATGAGAGAAGGGCAACAGGCCTGGGACTACACAGGTCTCTTCCTTTTTTTATTTTATTTTTATTTTTAATTAATTTAATTTATTTATTTTCATTATTATTATTATTATTATTATTATTGATTATGGTATCACATAATTGTCCTCAACCCCTCCCATTCCCATCCCAAACCCCTCCCCACATATGCCCCCACCCCCCTGTTGTCCGTGGCCACTGGCTAGGCCCATATGCATGCACACAAGTCCTTTGGTTGATCTCTTCCCCTTACCCACACCCTCCCCTACCTTCCCTCTGAGGTTTGAGAGTCTGATCGCTGCTTCTCTTTCTCTGGGTCTGTTTTTGTTCATCAGTCTATGCTGTTCATTATTTCCTGTAGATGTGTGAGATCATGTGATCCAAGAAATACCCTTGTAAGAACAGAAACTGAGACAAGCCATAATGGTTATGCTGAGAGGCAAATGAATCAGTCTATAGTGAGTTCCTTTCTGGGCCAACAGTTCTTTTGAGTCCCAATTTCAATGTCAAACAGTTCCTTATGTGTACATGTCAGCCATGCTATTTCAGATCTGGTTGGTGGACAAATGGTGGTGTGCAGGTCCGACCATCTCTGGTTTGGTCCTGGGCATCCTTCAGCGACACGCAGCTGCTGTCTGCCGGTATGGCGAGGCGTTGTCAGCGTCTTCCATCTCTGAACTGTTTATCTTCTGTCTTCATGGCTGGAGCACTTCTGTCTGTTCCTCTCTGTTAGAAGAATCCAGATGGTCTCGGAGTTGTTTTCTGGGGTCTCTTCCTTCTTATTGAGCTCTCTGTTCAGTTCCATTTTATGTCTTCCTGCCCTTCTCTCAACCACACTCAAGCCCGGAATGTAGGTGCCTTCTTCCTACAGTGAGGTTATAGGAATGTTCTGGGTTCTCCTGCCCACTTGTTGGTTCCACTGGCCAGCCTGAAGCTGCCCTCATAATGAAGGCTGGGAAGCTGGGAAGGGGGGTGGTGGAGACCCCCTCTTGATTGGGTGTTGTTAGATATTCTCTGAAGGATTCGGGTGCTCTGGGGTAGCCCTGTAGCCCACACATGTACCTTGATATAGAGATAAATTTGGAGGGAGGTAGATTTGACCTTTGGAACTTGCCCTGGCCTTTCCTGCTGTTTTCTGACCTTGAATTCTTTCCTCCTCAAATTCAAGTCCTCTAACCCCCTTCCCTGCCTCTGCCATAGACGTCTGAGTGCACAGAGCACGGCTGTGAACCCAACAGCCAGAGTATTCCTCTCTCGGGGTCTGCATTCTATCAATAGATGGAAGAGGAAGACAGCAAACAAATGAATAGAAAATGGGAAGAAATACAAAATACGTTCATTTGCTTTATGTGCTCTTTAAAATAGGAGTTTGCCTTGGGATGCAGCTAGCAGTGATAGAGTTTGCAAGGAACTGCCTTAACTTGAAAGGTAAGTCTAAGATTTAGCTACTAACTTTCCATTTAAAATGATTCTTTTCACTTAAAATATTTTTTCAGCAATATCGGTTAATTCTTGAATTCATTTCTTAATCTTCAGATGCCAATTCCACAGAATTTGAGCCAAGTGCCCCTGTGCCTGTGGTAAGTGGCTTGTTTATCTCTCTGGGTTGGATTATTGTCATTTGGTTTCTGGCTTTTGCCTAAACTCGGAAGGGCTATTATTTTTTTCATTACACTATCAGGACATTTACAATTATGTGAGCCCTGGCTGTTTCTCAGTGGTTAGAGCATCGGCCAGAGGACTGAAGGGTCGCGTGTTCTATTCCTGGTCAAGGACACGCACCTGAGTTGCATGTTCGAACCCTGGCCCTGGTTGGGGTGAAAACAGGAGGCAACCAATAGATGTCTCACATCAATGCTTCTCTCTCTCTCCCTCTCCTCCCTCCACTCCACTCTTATTAAAAAAAATCAATGGAAAAACTATCCTCAGGTGAGGATTAAAACAATTATATGTGATAACATTATTACTGCTATTATTTTTTTATTATGCTCTCAGGACATTTAAAATTTTATCTGATTTTATTTATTTATTTATTTATTTATTTTTACATACAACTGCTTTGTTTTCAAGAGTCCATTTTGCCAGCTATGTGTTGAAAAAAGACACCATCCTGGGCTGATTTATCTTTGCAGCAGTTCAAGCTTAATGTTTAGGAAAGGATTAAATTGACTGTGACAACAATTTATAACAGCTAATATAAATAAATGGGTTGGCCTGTCCCTAGACTCATCCCTGTCTGTCTAGTTTCCACACTGGTGGTCATCTGTCTTTCTAAAACAAAAGTGACAGCTGTTCTTCCGCTGCTCCTCATTTTCCACTAATTCCCTTTCCTGTAAAATATTCACTTCAAGGCTCTTGGCTGGGAGTGATGGCTATTATGCGCTGTCACCTGCTGCTTTGCTAATTCAACCCATGACATCCCCTCCTTTCCGCACTTGGGATTTATGTTTGGGCAATCTGAACCATTTTTTTGATGTAGCTTGAGATTCCCTATACCCAAGATGTTCCCCTCCCACAATCTCCCTTCCCCTGGAATCTCAATGAAACCAATGAAGAATTTCATTTAAAAACACACACACACAAAAAAACAAAACAAAACAAAAAAAACCATGCCCAATTGTGGGATTCCCCTTTCACGTCCCGCGTGGTTCAGGATTCTGGTTCAGGGTTTGGGTTCTGGAGAAGGCTGCACACAAATGAAAAGAGAGTAGAAAATGTATTAATTTGGCGATACTGGGGGCCAGGCAGGAGCCCACCTCTAGGGGGAGGACTACCCACTGCTCTGGCCTTGCTATCCCTTTTATTGGGGCTATGGGATACAGTCCACATGTGTCAAACACAAGGCCCGCGGGCCAAATCCGTCCCGCCAGGCCTTGCAATGTGGCCCGCACCGCGCTGTCATCACTGCACTCCGCTGCGTTTCCATCACAATGACAGTTTATGACTGTTCAGTAAACCATTCGGCCCGCGATTTAGGCTGGATTTTAGATTTTGGCCCCTTCTCTGATTGAGTTCGACACCCCTAGAATACACCCATAGCCCTTAGGCAGGAAATAACAGAAATATACATAAGACAAACAGAGGTGGAGGCTGCTTCAGCTCCCAATGCCTCAACTGGTGAGTGGTTAGAGAATTAAGGTTGTTGACCAGCCTTCCCGGCCTCCTGTCCACATCTATTAGTGAAACAGTGATTGGTTTCTGGCACCCGATGACCCACAACTTACTATTCCTCCTGCGAAGCCTTTCCTGGCCTCCTTTTTTCTCAGTTTCTGTGCTGTGGGGCAGGATGAACTTTTCCTCTACACTTTAAGTTTGTTCAGCTGGTCTAATAATTAAGTTGCATGAGACAGAGTAACGAGAAAAATAACGAAATTTAATTACATATGTATGTATGGGAACCCCACATATATGAGAGAGTAAGAATCCTGACATGTACGAGAGATTCAGAGACAGGGAAGGGAAATGAGATATATGTGGCATTCTGAGCTAAGGATGAAGTAAGATACCTTATGGCTTTACTTAGCATAATGATGTCTGCATCTGCCTATGTTATAGCATCTATCAGTTCTTTGTTTCTTTTTATTGCTGAATAATATTCCGTTATATAGACATACTACATTTTATTAATAAATTCGTCCATTGATGGACACTTGGATTATTTCCACTTTTTTACTATTATACTGCTATGAACATTGTGAACAAGTTGTTGGATGAACATATATTATAGTTTCATTTTACATGGGTATATACACCTAGGAGTGGAATTATGGATCATATAGTGACTATATGTTTAACCTTTCGCGTAATTGCCAGACTGTTTTCAAAATGACTGCGACATTTTACATTCCCACCAGCAGTGTATGAGGGCTTCAATTTCTCTGCATCCTTAACACTTGTCATTGCCTGTCTTTTTTATTATAGCCATTCTAGTGGGCATTAAGTTGTATCTCATTGTAGCTTTGATTTGCTTTTCCTTGATGGTTTAGATATTGAGCATCTTTTCATGTACTTACCACTTGTATATCATCTTTGGAGAAATGTCTATCCAGATTCCTTGCCCATTTTTAAATTGGGTTATTTGTCTTAAATTATAAGTGTTTTTTGCATGTTCTAGATCACATGTGTCAAACACAAGGCCCGCGGGCCAAATCCGTCCTGCCAGGCCTTGCAATGTGGCCCGCACCGCGCTGTCATCACTGCACTCCGCTGCGTTTCCATCACAATGACAGTTTATGACTGTTCAGTAAACCATTCGGCCAGCGATTTAGGCTGGATTTTAGATTTTGGCCCCTTCTCTGATTGAGTTCGACGCCCCTATTCTAGATACAAGTTTCTTATTAGACATATTAGAGGCCTGGTGCATGAAATTCATGCACAGGTGTGGTCCCTAGGCCTGGCTGGTGATCGAAGTGCTAGTGTCTGGCGTGGAAGGGCAGGTCCCAGCTGACCTCCGACCCTGGGTAGCACCTAGGCCGCTGGGCCTCGGTGCGCCCTGTCTGCCTGAATCACAGTACCCGAGTCCCCACGTGGAGATGTGGTGAGCGCAGCCAGACGCTGTGGGCCAGGGTGCAGTGTGGGCCTCTGGGCTGCCTAGCAGCATTGCATGGAAGCCGGGTGGGCAGCGCGCTTTCTCCTGGCTGGCCTCACAGACCGGCTCCTGTGCAAACCCATGGGGGCCCAATTGGCCCCTGTGATTCCAGGCGCTGTGGCCTGGCTCACCTGGAAGAGGCTGTGTGGGTGCGGGACGGGCTCCTCACAGGCACCTGAGTGCAGGGACTTCCCTGGTGCACAAGCCTGGTATCCCAGGGAAGGGTAGCAGAGAAAGTGAGAGCAAGCTCGGCAGACATCCTGCATTCTCACCGCACCTCCATCCCTGTTATCCCCACCCCCAGGTAGCCAGCGAGGGGTCGCAGCCCCCTGCCTGGGCACCACAGGAGGTTGGTCACTGCCACTCATCCCCAGATCCCCGTCCCCGGCCTGGGGCCTGGCCCCAATTGGGTGATCAGGGCCTGCTGCCTCGGGGGAGGGACCAGAAGGTTGGCCAGCAGGCCCTGATCACCTGATTGGGGTGGAGGGTGTGGGGGGAGAAGGGCCAACCGGGCTGCGTCTGCCACCACTCACCCCTGGTTTCTCATCCCAGCCCGGGGCCTGGATTGCCAATGGGGGCCTGCTGGCCTTGGGGAGAGACCAGGAGGTTGGCTGGTGGGCCCCATCCAGTGATCAGGGCCTGTGGGCTGGAGGCAGCTCCTGCATTGAGCGTTTTCCCCCTGGTGGTCAGTGCTCGTCATAACAACCAGTTGTTCCAGTCATTCCATCTTAAATGTTGCTTAGTCTTTTTATTTTATTTATTTTTAATATATTTTTTATTGATTTTTACAGAGAGGAAGGGAGAGAGATAGAGAGATAGAAACGTCGATAAGAGAGAAACATCGACCAGTTGCCTCCTGCACACCCCCTACCGGGGATGTGCCCGCAACCAAGGTACATGCCCTTGACTGGAATCGAACCTGGGACCCTTCAGTCCGCAGACCGACGCTCTACCACTGAGCCAAACCGGCTTCGGCATAAATGTTGCTTAGGCTTTTATATATACAACGAGTGGCCAGATTATTATGATCGCTGAACACATAATAATCTGGCCACTCAGTGTGCATAGATAATTTGGACTATTGACATTTTGGACTGGGTAATTCTTTGTAGTGGAGACTGTCCTGTGCATGGAGGATGTTGAGGAGCCTCCTTGGCTTATTCTTACTAAATGTTAATAGTACAGATCTCCCAACCCCTAATTGTGACACTAAAAAATTGTGACACCAAACATCCCCTGGGGCACAGGCAGAATATCTCTCCCCCTTCCCCCCATTGAGAAGCATTGATTTAGAGACATCCACTTATAATTCTCCTCCCTCCAAACTATTCCCCCCCTTCCCTTATGACAGCCATTAGTTCTTATTTTGGGGGGCTATCTTTTCATTTTTAAAACATAAGTAAACCTGTTTGTCTATTTGTAATCTTTTCCCCTTCTTCGATAAGTGGTAGCATACTCTGCAAAATTTTTCATTTTTTTCTACCTTTTTTTTTTTCTTTCACTTAACACTGTATGCTGGAGATCACTCCATGGAAGGATATTGAGATACTCTTTACAACTTTTATAGCTTGCATTTTAGACCACAATGAACCATAACTTCCAAGAGTTCCTTATGAGGCTTTAAACATATTTCCTCACTAATGGCTGAAATGACTGTATAGGCAACATGGGTTTACTTTTTTAAGAGAATACTTTGGGTTAGAAAATTATCTTACCAGTAGGTGCCACTATTACACAGCTTTGACAACGCTCTTGGATGACTGTCCTTTAACTGGTTGTGTGTGTGGGTACATAGGTGTACCCACACACATATGGGTATGTGTTTCCTTTTTTTTAATCCTCACCTGAGGAGTGAGGATATTTTCTCCATTGATTTTTAGAAAGAGTGGAAGGGAGGAGGAAGGGAGATAGGAGAGAGAGAGAGAAAAAAAAAAAATCAATGTGAGATGTGCCTCCCACAAACTCTCCAACTGGGGGCAAGGACCAAACCTG